CTGAGCATGTTCGTTGATAATGATGGACTATTTGCCACACAGTGTTGATAAAAAAAATACAAAAATGTTGTAGAGTACGTATCTCCGCTGAGGGTTCTCTTTGATAAACTGGGAGATTTGACAGCTAGTAGTTATTTTAATAGGTATTTATGTAGCACGGATGTGTCTAGATCCATATTTAGAGTAAAAAAAAAGTCATAAAACTGATAGTCATTCTCAACACACTACTCTAAACTTCAATATATTGAAGTCTGTTCCCTGGTGAAACAGCTGTAAGTTTAAGAATTTACAATTCTAAAATCCAGTGTTCGATTTCTCACAGTTGATACAGATAGCCCAGTATGAATTTTGCTCCAAAAAACAGCTCAATACAAGACCTCATCATGCCAACTAAATCTTTCCAGTTAAAGTTCTTAGATGAAAAACTAGATGATGTGAGTGCTATTGAAAGCAGGTCGCTGAAACATGTGTTTTTTTGGTTTATTATTATTCACCTTTTCATGATGTTTTTGTTAATAACGGAATAAATGTTGGATTCTTTTTGTATTAATTTTTAGGCTATGAAAGACCATTTGCTGAAGATCCACAAAGCCAAAAGCAGGTAGGATTATTATAGTACTAGGTTTTGTTTGCTTGTACTGAGGTAAGACTTGACCAGTTCTTGTTTGTTTATACTAAAATAAGACTAGTATCAGTTCTTTTTGTACTAACACTATAGTTTGATGTCTTCTTTATTGTTTGTATTAACTATTTAAACCCATAATTTTTTGTGGATTCTGCCAGAATTATTTTCATGATTTCCTAATAATTATCACCATACCTTATAAAATTTAAATTTCATTAATTTTGTGGTTAATAACATGGTTTGGATTACTTTTCACCCAAAGAGATGTAAATGTTATCAGATGCTGTCACTATGTGGCAGGTAAATTGGGATTTTCAGCCAGACACTGGCAGCATTCATGCAGATTTAAGGAATTAAGGTAAGATTGTAGTATCAGTACTTGCTTTGTTTATACTGAGATAAGATTATAATATAGTACTTATTTGTACTAAAACTATAGTATCAGTACTTGCTTTGTTTGTACTGAGATAAGATTATAATATAGTACTTATTTGTACTAAAACTATAGTATCAGTACTTTGTTTATACTGAGATAAGATTATAATATAGTACTTATTTGTACTAAAACTATAGTATCAGTACTTGCTTTGTTTGTACTAAAAAATATTATAATATTAGTTCTGGATTAAAGCTTTTAATGGCCATAATCTCGTTAATTTGTAAAACATAATAATTTTTGGCAGTTCCAATGATTTTTGACACTACTTGATAAACTGAGCTCCATAATTACTGGAATATCATTACAATCTTCCACATACTCAAGTATGTTTGACACTTCTTGATAAACTGAGCTCCATAATTACTGGAATATCATTACAATCTACCACATACTCAAGAGTGTTTGACACTACTTGATAAACTGAGCTCCATAATTACTGGAATATCATTACAATCTGCCACATACTCAAGTATGTTTGACACTTCTTGATAAACTGAGCTCCATAATTACTGGAATATCATTACAATCTACCACATACTCAAGTATGTTTGACACTTCTTGATAACCTGAGCTCCATAACTACTGGAATATCATTACAATCTTCCACATACTCAAGTATGTTTGACACTTCTTGATAAACTGAGCTCCATAATTACTGGAATATCATTACTATCTGCCACATACTCAAGTATGTTTGACACTTCTTGATAAACTGAGCTCCATAATTACTGGAATATCATTGCAATCTACCACATACTCAAGTATGTTTGACACTTCTTGATAAACTGAGCTCCATAATTACTGGAATATCATTGCAATCTGCCACATACTCAAGTATGTTT